CGGCGGAGCGCAGCCCGGCCCCGCGGCGAGCCCCGCTCCCCCTCGGCGCGGAGCCCAGGGCGGCTGGGAGGGCTGCCCGGGGCTGCGGCAGGAGGGATGCCCCCCCCACATCGGGACACAAGGGCTGGTTCTGTGGAGAGCTGCCGCCAGCCGGCCCTTCCCGGCACAGGGCGGGGAGCAGGGATGCTCTGGCCTCTGCCGAATGGAAAAACTTCAGCCACGTCCCACGCAGAGCACAGGAGCGAGCGCACCTTCGCGTTCGGCAGCCCCCGCGTAAAGCTACAAGCAGAGGGGACAGCGGCCCGGCAGACCCACAGGAACCCAGAGTTTCACTTTAGAAAGGAAGGTGCTCTCTGCTCGCAGCCCACCGCACCGCCGGGCCGTAAGGAAAGGCAGAACGAAGCGCGTTTACAGGAACCAGACAATTTGCAAGTTAACAGGCTGAAAGTGTAAGGGTCTTCTTGGGGCTTGGGGGTTGGTTTGGGTTTTTTGGTTGTTTGGGTTTTTTTAAGACAGCAGGCATATTACTCTAACGCTTTCTGCAAAATTAGTTTGGTTACTGCAGGAACCCAGCTTCAAAACCAGAGCAGAGCTCATGCTCCTGATGTTATGGACCAGCTTGTGCTTTTTACTGTTGTAGCAAAGTTAGGAGACCCAAATAGTGCGCTGTTGAAATACAACCTCCTGCTTTGAAATTTGCACCCGTCTCATCCAAGAATTACTGCCGGACTTTGAAAGCAGTAACTACTCAGCAAGTAGTTTCTGTGCTTGACCTCATTCCCAATAGCGGAGTGCCCACCATCAAAGAGCCACCCTACCCTTAGCCAGCGCTGGGAGTACAAAACAACTGCATTTGCGACACAAGAAATTTCAGAGCTAAAATGGCCAGTGAATTCCACAAAGAAGGATAGAGAGAAGTAAGTTAGAGGGACTTAAATGAGATCATTAATTTACATTCGTGAGAATAGACCTAGGGAAGAAAACATTTTCCAAAGGAGAAAAATCAAGGTTTAGTGCTGAATGAATAACCAGAGGAAGAAAGTACATTGGTTTTCTACTTCTACATTTAGCATCATTCAGAAAAAGCAAATACAATGCAGAGTTTATAAAAGATGTGTACAATACTAAGTGTTAATACAGGTTTGGGCATTTAGAAAGCTAAAGGGTCAGCACCCAGAGGAGAGTTGCCACAAGTTACATATTAATGACATGGAAGAACAAAGAAGAAAAATGCAGCAGAGGCAACAGACGTTAACAGGTCTCCACGTGAATACAACTGAAATTTGTAACAGGTACATAAATTTAAAAAGGATGCATATCAAACTCCTTGGAAAATACCACCTTTAAAGTTGTAACAACTATTTTCCTCTGGCTTTTTTCAAAGTACAAACACTAGACAACTACTGACAGAAAAACAGATGTTCCACATCTTACCTTCCTGAAAAAAGCTGTACATCGTATACAGCTGTGCTATATGAACAAAGATGGTAAGTCACACAGAAAAAATGGACAGAGCATCCACATCAAGAAAAAAAATGTTAGTGATCACTTACACCCTTGGAAGACCCGTCGCATAACTCATCCAGGCACAGATAGCCATTTTTACAGGGACACCTTGGTAGCTCTAAAATATGCGTAGCAAGTTCTTGTAAAGGCCCATATTACACATTTAAATGACAGAATGTTAACAGTTTGCTGGAACAGACTATTTTTTAATCCCAAAGTTTCTCTTTCATAACCTCACATCATCTCCTTTCCCATCATTTAAAAATTCTGTTTTTTCTTTAAAGAAACAGGGACCCGAAATCCATTGTCTTCTAAGTAGTTTCCTGAGTTGGTCCCAGGTTTTTTCAACTAGTAATTCTAATGTTGACCAGCAGTAGTGTTTTGGAATGCCTGAAATGGTAATGCTTTGATACAAATTTACAATATTAAGCAGCCCACTACTACTACTTATTTTGTGTAAAGGATATGTCAGAAAATTATAAAAAATTCATTTAAGAATTAATGTAAGAACTATTGGATGGGAATAGGGCTACAAGGAAAAAAAATATTTAAGGGACAAAACAGGTAAACAAATTATTGAATTAAAAGAGAGGGAAGAAGATCCACACCAGTGGATCACTGATAGGTCATTAACATTTTAATTAACAGCAAAACATTTAGCTAAATGTAGATGAATTTCACAAAGCAAAACAGATAACACAGAAGCCAGAAGAAAAGCGAGGCACCTCTGAGAATTAGTTAGGCAGGAATTTGGACAAATAAAAGATAGTACAAGTGGAAATTCATGTTCAGCCAGAACACTGTGAACTCAGGCTGCATGTGCAGAGACCATGGGACATACATGACA